TCACTCAGACACCATAAAAAAATATATCTGTAAATTTGGCTAGAGCGAACTAATTAAAGCCGACCTCTCTGCCTTCTGATAAATCCTCGTCTTTCTCTCTCACTTGTTTAGAGCTACATCGACCCCACACAAACCAAGATTATGCTCTATGAGACCCATTTGGGCTCAGACTGCCGGGTCGTTCTCAAATCGAACGACTCCGAGTGAATAGACTCACGAGTGATACTGCCTATTTAGACTTATGTCGAAATTAAATTCTGAAATTGCAGACATACAGACACCTTTCTTCAATCAGCGCACAATAGCTGCCTACAGACACAGCACAGCTGAAACACAACCTAATTCAACGAAGTTTCGCCTTCAAACCGAATATAACCAAGACAATACGGACTACCACGTCATTCTTGATAACAAAATTTTGATATTTGTTACTTCGAAGGGCCCACGGCAGATCATGCCAATTATGCAACATTGGAACGATGGAGCTCATTCTATGCCATTACCAATCCTTCCAGACTCAATGACGTTGTCTTGAAGCCAAAATCGCATTGATGCAATGTCATTTTTCGGAAATTTAAAAGTTATCAAATTTGGTCTATATGGTTTCAAGTGTACACAAGGTCACAAAAGCACTATTGTGTTTCTTAAAAACAACTGAGCTTTACGAACATTTGTATATGTGACTCTTCCGAGCCATAATGCTTTATTGATATGTATTTCTCTCTATCACAAGCATGAATACTTGAACACAATTTTTAAAATATACAACAGAGGGAACGTTATTCTTATTAAAGATACGTCATGCATGCTATAAAATCACGAAGGACGTTTTCAACGAAATTATCCGTATAACTGAAAACGTGCTAGCGTTTGCACTACCGACCATACGAAGTCAGCTGCACAACAAAATGCTTTGAGATGCCTCCGTTTTAAAAACGTCTGACTTGGTGCACAGGTGTTCCCTCTAGTTATTCCATTTGTTCAAAGTGTAACACATTAGCCGCGGTGTGATCTCGTACCTCCGTATTTTCCTCAATCACCTTGGATTCAGTATTTTTTTTTTACTAGTAACCCTTCTAAAGCAAGAGTACGCTCAAAATAACACTAACACATAAGCGCAACGGTATGAAACAACATTTAAATACACATTGTATTATCAGTACACTACGCGCTTCCTATAATTACTGACGTAATCTTCTAGCACTTCGGTGAGAACCCAGCATGTGTGGCACTACGATACTGCGCTGTAGTCTTCGATTCCACATAAATCGGAAGTCTACTACGCTATTGTCGATCCCGTTTGTTTGGCGTGACAGTGCATTAACCCTGCTGAGCCCGTCTTGTCTGCATATTTCGCTTTAGGTCGCATAGAGTTCAAACTTGAATGACTTCGGGCGTAACTGTCGTCAGCTTCCATTGTTTCAAGACACTACCTTTATCTGTCGACTAGGACGTAAGCACTTCACAGGTATGCGATGCGAGAGCAACTGCCAAGTACTCTTTTTTTTTCCGCTCCATTCAGACAGAAAACTAGAAAAGAAAAAAAGGAATGCTTACGTACACCGTTGCTTGTGATAGATTACTCAATTGATAAGCTATACGCATCCTAGTAGGATAACACGTGCTTCGTGCGGTCAGCTGTCGAATCGGTATCGGACGCATGGACATTAGACACGTGACCGTGGAAGTGCAGTGTCAGAGTAACGATATATAATCAAGAGACAAACAAAAATAATTATTTTCATATTTTGGTCGTGTGGCATAACAAGCTCGAATCGGGCTGTGTTGGCCAGGCGTAAAAGAGCGACTAGTAAATATAATTATCGTTCGTCATATTAAAGAAAGCCAACAAACTAGGCTGATCGCGAGGCAAGCATTTCCGTATCATCGACAATAAGAAGCACTGAGAAATATAAAAAAGTTTAAAAAACCATACAAAAAATAATTGAAAGTGGCAGTTTCGACCCTAAGACAAAGTATTAGTTATAAACGCTGCGAAGTTGTACACTTGCACACTTGAGCCTCGTTTCGATGGCGTTTCAGAACGCTGGCTAGCCTAGCAGTATCACCAGTATGATCTGCGCAAGTTCAACCCCACTTCCACCACCCTCGAATACACTTCGGGGGTACACGTAAGACTTAGAGATACATGGTTAAGAAGCCTAGCTGGTTATGATTATTCCACAAATCTCTCCTATGCGCGCACACACGCACACACTCACAAATAAAGACCCAGGTTACAGAGGAATACAGCAAACCTATACAGTAGTTGCCCTGGAAAATCTTACGATTTGTGATGCCAAGCGGCAATGGAGTGCTTCAGACAAAATTATGGGCGTTTGTAGTGTTGTGGACGCTTGTAGTTTGTTGTGTTAAGCGAATTCACGTATAAGAAATCTGTTACAAAACTTTACACGTTTAAGTAAAAAAAATGAAGACAAAATGTGAAGAACTACCCTTGCGAAAAATAATAACTCCGAATGATTTTTATCGCGTCCAAAGGCAAGCAAGATATTAGGTCCTCCTCTTCTGCTTATAAACAGAGTCACAACCCGTCACAAAGAGTACTGGCGCACCTTCTTGTGCTTCGTACGGTGACTGCTACTCGAGGAAATTGCCGTAAGATGAAAGCACTTCCACACTTTGACACGAAGTTTTTGCTACATTTTTATGCGTGTAGAAGAACTACGAAGTTGGTGATGTCCGAGAAGGCTTTGGTTGACGACCCTTCGTATCGTCTAGGAATGTAATATTGAAATCAGTCGAGTTCATAATGAACTTGAGCACAATGTTAATTTTTTTGTGGATATAATACTAGCTATACAAAGTTTCTCAGCCAGACTGATAAGATTATGCGAGGCAAACCTTGAGCACTTGGCGCGACATGACGTAGCTGCAGTTTTATTACGCGGAAATGGCGCATCAAAGCTGTCTCACGTATGCCAAATCAAGGACAGTGCGTCCAAAGCATGAGAACGATAGGATGTGAGGAGTAAATAGTCTAATTATAACTTTAGAATTGCTCAGCCAGACAATTATCGCCATCGCCATAGCGGAGCACGGACCCATTATTACAGCATAATCAATGAATCAACTCAGAAAACGACCCCTGGTTGTGTGCTCCGTCTGTATAGCAAGACGTTAATACTACACGGTGTCTCCCACGCTGGTGTACTTTCAGTTAGAGGAGTTGTTTAAGCGTAATTTTCTGTCCACGTGATGCGCAGATGTAGGCTTCCCGTTCTGTATTCATCTTTCAGACGCTTAACAAATCAGATGTGTCGGTACATGTGCAGGTAACGCTTGTTTTGTCTGTACTTCCTTGTTGATGTTGTTGCTTATGAGCACGCCGACGAGCTGGAAATACAAGAACCTGAAATATTTTCTTCTCTTGGCGTGTTGCTTTTTACCGGCGACGGGTGAACACAATCTCAAATTTGTAAACCGGAGAGGTAACGCCTAGAAAACATATGAAGCATGCCAAAGCAGACACGAAGCTGATACGTGAACCATCAAAGGTATCGTTTGTGATGCTGTGCAAATAATATTCTACATCGCACCCGACGCGACACAAGAACACACCGCCGTCTCACTTCTAAAAATTGCCTCTCAATCGATAACATCTTGAAACAGTCACTTTAAAGAATAACAAGGAGCTGATTATACTTCTTCACCTAACTTCTCACAAAGGAATGTCATTCTTTCAGAAAATAAATTAGTGTATTGCGTGGTTTGAACACGAAAAATAATTACTGCTACTCTACCGGTGCTCTTCCTTCACCGCAAGGAAAGCAATGTTTATGTGATCCCGCTGTACAAGCATATATCTAGCACACAAACAACAACAAAAAAATGTAGGATAATTTTTATTCAACTGACACGGATTCGTTCAAATGCGGCGGCTATAGTCTGGTCCACTAAACATATGCCCCCGTGAAACCTGGCACTCGCGATAACACCAGTTATTCGAGCGGGAAACGAATCGACTCTAGCCAGTAACACAAGCACGCACGCGAAGAACAAAAGCGATTGTGCCGCAAACCCTTTTCTACGCAGCAAGGACTGATCGTACCTTGGCGATCGCACGGCTTCACTTGGCTCACGTTCAATATGGTTTTCGAGCATTCAGGGTTATTTCTCAACCTCGATCGAGGTAATCTAAGCCCAGCTGGCATTCGAGAAATGCAAGGGTGGGCGTTCTGAACGAATCTGGCACGACCGGCACCGATTGCAGAAACGGAAACGGAACGAGCAAAGGACGCGAACTTAACAGTTCTTCCCGCTGACAACTTCGTAGTGTATTCTTTCTACTGACGGTGCGAAAAGAAAGAAAGAAAGAAAGAAAGAAAGAAAGAAAGAAAGAAAGAAAGAAAGAAAGAAAGAAAGAAAGAAAGAAAGAAAGAAAGAAAGAAAGAAAGAAAGAAAGAAAGAAAGAAAGAAAGAAAGAAAGAAAGAAAGAAAGAAAGAAAGCTTGTTTCTCCCTGCCAGTATTCCTCGAGATGGTGTTATTTTCTGTTCTACACTGGCGACGAATCAGCTTCAAAGCATGGCCACGAAACACAATATCAACGGTAAGAAAAGACAAGGGGAGTGCTTCCAGCTGTTTCGTAAGTAGCTTTTCTTTTATTTTATGATACTGGCCTTGCGATTACAGCAGATCGATGACAAAAACTTTATTGAAATAGAAAAGTTCGCAGCAAGCCTACTCGTGAATCCACTCATGACAACGCCGCGCTCGAGCATTCATTTGGTGGTGGTCTGAAACACGCGGACCTGATTTGCCGCATGGACTAATAGACACGGCAGCATCACAGCACAAAACAATCCACAGAGAGCTACCCTTATAGCTGGGGCCTAGGTTACCACTACAGCTGTCCATCACATTTTCTCTATAGCCCTTTCCGACCTTTCTGGCCCTCAGTACAATACGGAAAAGGCGAGGTTAGTAAATACGTGGTGAGAATTTCGGTAAGTGAGTCTTATGGGGAATGCAAACTTACCTCGATGGTGTAGCTCTCATTGGACAGGTACATCGGCAAGTAACGCCGGTTAGAAAAACCGAGCGTAATCAAGTCTGGCATCTCGGACAAATTTTTTCCGTTTGTTCAGCGAACCCTCTCCGTTGATGCTCAAGTCTCAGCCCTGCACCGGCCGCACTTCTTGTTCCATAGGACTGGCCACACTTTTCGCCACACCTCCTTCTCCTCCAACACCACCACCACGACCTACGTCCATCCCGACCACCACGGGGAGGACGAAAGGAAAAAAAAAAGAAAGACCAGCAAAGCGTGAGGTAAGACTCACCCCAAGGTTTTTGATGACGGCCGTGCTAAAGCGCCTTGCGGCCAGCAGCATGGGATTCGAAGATGTCCCGACCGCGGTGCTGAAACGTCTCGCTGCCTGCAACATGGCTGCTCCTGGCTTTGTGGACTGCCGGTGGACAGTCTCTTCCGGGAGTACAGTTTAGATTTTTTTTTTTCTCAAACAGGAAAGAGAAAACGGGGGCGACTCGAGGGGAGATGACAGGATACTCAAAAGGTGGTCGGTGGCAGATCACCGAAGACTGTCAGAACACCAGCCACACACACACACACACACACTCGTCTTGGCAGGCTGGATGCGCGCAATCAACCGTGGTACCTCGGGAGGACGCGATCTCGGCTTCACCAGAGCACGGCGGATGTGCTGCGTGGATGCGAGCTGCGTTCAGGTGCGTACGACTACGTGCGAGCGTGCGTAAGCCAGAGCCGAGTTTCATTCGCATTAAGAGAGGCGCCCCTTTCGGTGTTGGCGAAGGCGAGGGCCATGGTGCAGGTAGGACGCTACAGATGGAGGGAGGAGGAAGGGGCTACGTGTTGCCTCTCTTTTAGGTGCGGCTTCGTACTCACGCGCACGCACAATTGCGTCCTCTCCAAAAGACGCCGCCGTGCGGCTTAGAGAGAGAGAGAAAGGAAGAGATTATAACGTCTGTTGCTTTGTTATACGTTTATATTATTATTCTTTCGTTTCTTTCTCTCTGATTCTGGAGGACTGTAGATAGGAACACGAGTGCACTTTCCGCCGGGCGCCGATAGCGAACCACAGATGTCCATCAACGACAGTGGTCGAACAACGCATAGAATGCAGCGGCGCGGAGAGATACGAAAAGGTGCGCGAGGAAGGGCATGTGGGAAGGGAGTCTACGCGCTGGATCGTATCAGTTCGCAACGCTGGAGCGAACACGCGAAGCACAGGAGCAACACAACTAGGGTAGGGAGATTTAGAAATAGTGCTCCCAAGCGGCTTCGCGTACACCGCCGAGAAACCGAGCTTCCTTGTACGCATTTTGGGCTGTTTTGACCGCGTAATATATATAATTTAACCGAGGGTTACACATTTCTAAAGGTCCCTAATGACTACAGACACAAGAGATAAGTTTCTATGTTCGTATCTAGCGAAACACACAGAGAGAGGAGCGGGCATCGACCCAGTAGCACATCACAGATCAAGACACTGAAGCGCTAATAGCAGCCACAAAGGCTAATGCCTAGCTTTGTCGTCGCCAGTAGATCGGTCTGACAGAGGTTACCACAGCGAGGAGGAATACGGAGAAGCTCCGTAGCTCCTTTCATAATATGACAATTACGAAATTCATGACAAGATTGCAACACGAAATTATAGATACTTTGATCAGGAACTGCGGCGTTATGACAAACGGGAACACGCCAGTAACTTTCTCAGTGAAAAACACAAGAGGCATACGAGATACTGAAGAACTATAGGACCTCCTTTTACACATAAATACCACGTGTATCAAGACGACGATTTACGTCGTCATCTTACCAGTAATAAAAATATAAAAATATTTGCTTCTAAATGAACAACAATATTTGAGAATTCGAATTTTCAGAACCAACACGGCAGTACAGGCTATAGCCGGCCTCTGCAGCAACATGAGCCTTCCACTATTCATTACATAAGAGTGAACCACTGAACTATCGCTCTTTCATCAATCTTGAGGCACGCAGACAAGATGGCTAAGGCGACGTGTACTAAGCAATTCGCGACACAGTCCACAGCTGCAGTCTTTTAAACAGAAGCCACGAAGGTCTGTAGATGAACACTACCGCAGGTACATTATGTTTAGGGAAAAATTACTCAAAAATGAAGCCCCAGGAGGTGAGAAAAGGACAACGCATGCGTCATTTTCTGGTTTTGCCACTATAAGTTGCTGCAAATGTCGTATGTTATGATTAAATAGTCAACGTTGCACCGAACGAACAACCACACAGAGAAACACACATATACACCACGGGCGCTGTTCATTTGGCGCGACGTTGACTATTTAATCAAGACATGCGCCAACTAGCCCAACAGCGAGTTCTACTGTCGTATTTTATATTGACGACCACATCCACAATGTCCGCGGGAAATTGTTAGAAGGTTGTGTTTTTGCGTAAGAAGCCCTTCATCATTCTTCTTTTGCAAAAGCTGCAAGTATATCGTATCGAGAGCTGTGCCAAAACTTTCGCGGCGAAGCAGGATTAGAAAAGTCTAATTCATCTCTTGCATTTCGAAAACAACCAGTCAAATAAACGTCAATTTTCCGGGCAGACGACTTGGAGTTCGCCAATATTACCAAAAGGCTACCCGGGGCACTTTAGAAATTTTCGACAGGAAATTGTCAAGTTTTCGTAGCTCCTCTTGATAATTAATAGGGCATTACTTCGGACTTAGCTTGTTCGAATTTCAGAAGCCCAGTCAATGGACCGGTCGCGCAGTGTGCTTGCACAGTGAATAATCCCATAGGTAAGAAAAAAGTATTGGAACTCAGACTAACTCAATAAATGTATTGTGCTCTGTGAGCTCACATCGACTCGGATACACCGAAATTTTCTTCAAGCGAATTTACTCGGACACACCTAACTTTTTCTCAACCAGAGTCACTCGGACTGAAAATCGCCAACATATTGCTCAGATGGACACACTCAGACTCAAACTCACGGTTCGACCCGAGTCTGCAGGGTGAGCCCGAGTTGTCGACTCACGAGTCCACTGGCGTAAAAAAAAAAAAATCTTTTCCGATCATGGTGCGAATCCCCCTTACCGCCAACATTGCACATAATCGGTGTTCCACCATTCGCATTTCGATATTACGCCTACAAATACCAGGTAGCAGTGGTCGCAATGCAGTAAAACTGCGTTTTATTAAACATGCGACTCACATGCACTAGCTATTTTTATCAAGGACGTCTCGTGAAAGGGTTTGTGGGGGAGGACATGGCACCCCCTCCTCCCTACTCGCGCCTCCGTTCAATAAACATAGAGGTGCCGCATGAACGCTACTGCGTTGAGACACGCGTGCAGAGATTACCCTATGAGCGTAAGCTGATACTATAGGCCAATAATGAGGTGAATAGGTGGGACCATAGGCCGGCAATAGAATGTGGAGCTCACTCACTGAAGAAATCTATTTTACGCGTAAGGTTCACTATAGGACTCTCCCCAATTATTTCGTACACGCAACTCACTGGGATTTAAACTCCCTAAAGGTACACGCCACAGATTTCGACAAAAAAATTTCCGATGGAGCAGTGGTAGACATTGCTCACCAGCGAGGAAAAGGAGGCCCAGGTGGCACTCCTGCACCAGGCGCGGCGGGCTGCTGAGGCCAGTTTGAAACGAAAAAAACTGTAGTACAAGAGCAAAATGCAAAGAAGCGATAACTCAGTGAAGGTTTTTTTTTTCTTTCTTTCTAACATTAGCATTGAAGCAACGAAGACGTCAACATGTCTTCTCGACATTATTTACTTGAGAGTGGCGCCTTTTACAGCTCATAATAGGAATTTTTGGGGTTATACGTTTCAAAATCGTGACATTACGAGGGACACCCATCACTTGGTGTTCCACCACCCGGTGCCCTTTAACATGCATCTAACTCCAAGTACACGGGAGTCGTGCATTTCCCCACCACCGAAATGCGACCGGGCTTCGATCCCGCGACCTTCGGACCAGCAATCGAGTACCCTAACCAGAAGACCACCTTGGCAGGTGTAGGACAAATAGTATCCGCTGTTAGCTCTAAGAGCTACGTCTGTATAGCTACTCTTCCCTCATTCGTAACTACAGAGACAGCCGAGTACGTAGAAGACAACTTGCCGCACGAACGAGTGAGTGAGTGACCTTGAACGAACGACTACGCGCCGCTTTCGGCGCATATATACCGGTACACAAGCTATGGTTGTCGTTTCCTAGAGTATAGGCGGTCTGCTGAGCGGTTAATGCGCAAATGGGAGCGGCTGCCCGTAATAGAGTTTCACGCAGCGTCATCTACGGTAACGTGGCACGGTGTAATGTCTCGCGCTTTCGCTACGGGAAACTCATCAACGCAGCATAATAGCGGGTGGAGCGATCTCGAAACGCAACACTCAAATCAGCGTCTCGCCGAGTTATGGGCGGAATCACAGCGAAATCGCGTCACAGCATTCAAACGAGCGGACGTCACTGCATCCACGTAACTGATACTTAAAGGTCAAAAGCAAGGTCGCTTCACTGAAGAAATACAATGGTGTGTTTTACCACTGCCAATTATGACGCAATTACTTGCTCTGCCCCATCCAACCGAATCAAATAAAATTGTTGGATATGAAAAATGAGGACAAAAGTATAGCGTCGACAAAAAGGCACAAACAATCCTCCGAGTATTCACACAGCCTGCTGGGCAGCTGCTGAACGCGTACAAAAGAGTAGCTTAACGCTGCAGGCCCCATTCCGAAGACGTTCAGAAGCTAGTTGACTCTCTGTAACACTTGGAAATGAACGTCTGGTGCTCGTCGCACGGCGAAGCACTACGTAATGCAATCGAGCAGCAGCTCTCTGGCAAGACAAAATCAGACGCAGTGTGAAAAAGACGCAATAAATAGGGCGTGCGCTATGGCTTCATTGAACGTAACGAACTAAAACCTGCCCGCCACGGTGGTCTAGTCGTTAAGGTACTCGGCTGCTGATCCGCAGGTCATGGGTTCGAATCCCGGCTGCGGTGGCTGCATTTCCGATGAAGGCGGAAATGTTGTAGGCCCGTGTGCTCAGACTTGGGTGCACGTTAAAGAACCCCAGGTGGTCGAAATTTCCGGAGCCCTCCACTACCGCGTCTCTAATCATATGGAGATTTTGGGACGTTAAACCCCACATATCAACTAAAACCTCCCCGAAAACTTGGAGGATGATTGAGCTTTTGAGCGTACAT